AAACCTTCATGTCTTATTGTAGATTATATTAAAAGGGGTTGTTTATCCCACAGAGGTTTTTAAACAACTTGAAAAGGCTAATTTGCAAGCAGTACTTGTTACATGTAATAGAGACAGCATTCTCATTATCTCCACTCTCTAATTTGGAAATCTACAAAAACAAGCTCCTGCAGTCCTCCTTCATGATATTATCAGAACTGTTCACTCTAGAAAGACTTACATGGAGCAAAACACCAAAACAGAAGCATTTGTGGACTAAATTTCCAGATCTGAGGGATTGAGGACCTTGTGAAATATCTTTATATTCACCATGTTCATCAAAGATCACGATATACCTGGCTTGGTTTATGAAATTAGCAGGTGAAATTTCTACTAAAAAGATTGGATTTCTATATATAGTTTCTTCGGCTCTTCCTTATACAGAACAAATGACAGAATGGATGCGCAAGATCAACAACTGACCACTGAGAAAAACTGACACACAACTGAAATGTAGGAGTTTAAAGAAAAGTGGTACATGCAATTACAACAGAATCAGCGAAAGCATGATTTTTAGATCAACCACATCAATAAAAAATGTCTTTGTAAACAGCCGTTTGCTCGATTACTGTAACAATAGAGATTTAAAGCTGAAATCAAAAGTCAGCAGCTCAGGGATGAACATGTTTATGAACATGCAATGTGGGAACATGCAATGTGGGAACTCAAGTTCTATTTTAAACATGGACAATTGAACTTGGATGTCCCAGGACAGCCAACAGGCCTCCTGCCCTTCTAAATCCAGATGTTGGAGTTGAAATGATGCTGACTGTTCAGTATAAATGTCTCTTCCATTGTATAGTTTGAGGACCCCTCTGGTGGATGCATCACTTCTGCAGAAGACATCAATGCATAAACTATTAATCTGTTTAGATAATGCCCACATGTTTATATTTCTTTAGCAAAAAGAGTATAAATGAATTAAACAAAGGTAAAAACCACGACTAAGAATGTCATTGCATTAAGTGTATATAGCAGAATTAATAAAAAACTAACCTGAGACACTGAAACAATAAAGTTGCAAAATGATGAAAACATGAAAACATTTTATTTCACTGCTGCTTCAAGGTCCTGTCAGAGTTTAGGCTAGAGTTTTCTTTCATCAAGCCAAAAAATTAGACCTGACTCCTGGTCTGATTCAGGTTTCCTGGACTAGGGGTTGAAAAAGATGTGACTGGTCATAGATTAACACCTCCGAACTACATCAGTTCACCATTCATAGAGGACTACTTACTCTTAGGGTTACATCAGCCCAGTAATCAGCGGCTTTTATGGACCAATTTGAGTAGCTTGTGTTTTCATTTTTGTGAAAGCAAGCAAACCTGTTTAAAGGCCCCCAAAAATGAAATGGCAAACACATACGTAATATGTGCTCTTTGATGACAAAGTGGGTGACTAGTCATTGTCTTTGTCCTCATTGCCAAAACTGGAGGCCACTGGATTCATTCTCTGTACCACTTGCCTTCTGCCCCTATGTACTGACTGAGAGATGAAGAAGTGAATGAGAAAGAGACAATTTGACTGTTCGCGCTTACTCTAACGTGTGGCAAAAAGCCAGTCTCAGAGCAGTGGGAAGACAAATTAAGCAGGGACCTTCCAAGCAGGTCGTCCTTGGACAGATTGGATGCGATTTTGTTTAACCTCTCAACATCCTTTTCACATGAGGAGGACAGGATTGGACTCACAAGCTGTAACTCACTACTACACATCTCAGCAGCCTGACTTGCAAATGTGCAGTTTTTTGCCAGCACACACATTGAGCTGTTTCCTAACAAAATTTATTTGCACTCAGCTGAGACCAAATCGGTGAATAAGACTGAACGCTGCAGTTTTTTTTTGCACGTCAGATGTCATCATTGAGGCTAGCCATTTGTTTTTCTGCAGTTCCTTAGAGGATCTCAGTCTGGATAAAGGCTGAAGCCCCTCTGTATTTATTAGCAACAGTAGCTACTAACACTGAAGTCTGCAGCCGGCTGCCGGGAGAAAAAATGAGATGAAAGAAGACGCAGAGGAAGCCCAGAAGAGAGCCAAACTCACCACTGAATACAGATTTTGAAGTCAAAACCAGACACCAACGTTTCTAATGAGATTTCTTTCTGTTTTTCTGAGTTTAACACAGACTGCTGGCTTCACATGCACGTTTTGTCTTTGTCTTTCCACCAGGTACACAGACAGGTAAATAGTAAAGGCACTCGCACTTTCTTTAGCTGACACGCGGCGTGGTCTCTTTTCCCAGAAGAGCAATAAATCTTTTGACATTGCTTTCAAAAGGATTGTACAGTTATTTTGACATCTTGTTTTTGCCCTATACACAGCTTTTTGAAGATGTCAGCAACAACCTAGAGGAGATTGTGCCCGATTTTGCACTGCTAAATCCATAGGTCATATTCAGTCTTACAAAATATCTATACATCACACAAATACTAACTCGTCTCAATTAACAAAAGACTATCGATATGCCACCACCTTCCTCTTATTGAAGTCTCAAATGACAGCAACATTAACGCCATAAAAGTACAGGTGAAAATGGCTGAATATGACTTTCCCCTCCTACAATTTGAAGTTAATAAAAGAGTCCATTAATGGGAGGTGCCCACAGCAACTTGACAATGAGTCACTCACTGAGTTGTTCCACTTTAATAATGAAATCGTATAGATATACTGTGATGCCAGGTGTTCTGAAGTCCCAGCATCTTAAGACACTTAAAGTCTGTCGCCTCCTGAGAAAAATTTCTGTGAGGCCGTGATTATTTTTCCATGACTGCTTCAGGACGGTCTGGGCTCACTCCCATTAAATAAGAGAAAAAATGCTTTGAAAGAGAAAGTTATTTTCCGGAGTGAAATCTGTGTTTGTGCGTGTAATGCAAATCCTATTTCATTTACTACTAATGGTTTAGTTACTTTGAATAAAATGTGGCTGGTTGACATGGCAATGTTAATTTCGTCCCATTAACTGTAAGAGTGTGAGAGCAGCTATGATAATTTCATCCATTTACAGCAATATCCATTCATCCATACAAACCTACATTTTCTGTGGCCCATGCCACTTCAGGGTCACAGGAGATTTGATTGAGTGAGAAACAAGGTTCAATATATAAAGGATTTCTATAATATAGTTTTACAAAAAGAGTTTAGATTCTACATTTCCCACTGATAAATAAGCAGAACTACAGCTGGTATTCTTTGGCCTATTCTTATGTACAGGCCAGCTCTAGACATATCACAGCCCCACTGGGAAGTCAGAAAAAAGCTGGCGATAAGTCTTGTGGTATTAGACAACATATAGTTGTCGTTGTATAAATGTGCATTTCTTTGAAGTTATGTTTTATGTGTATTCATAAATATGATGGTATAGAAGGCAGTTACCAAAGATACCTTTAAGAATGGCTGGAATTTTTTATTAAAATTTACAGCATTATAAAACAATGCTGAGATAAGTCTATAACATTTTCTACAATCCCCATCCCAAGTCAGTTCTACCACAGGTTTGTCCTGCTGTCCTCTTATTCATCACATTTAGTATGACTGGACAAAAACAATCAAGGGTCCCTATAGAAGTTGTAGAATTTCTAGAAGAAATTGTGGGACAAAATCACTTCCTCTTCTGTTCCGGTGTACCAAGGAGATCTTAAAAGAAGCTCTTGTGCTTCTTTGATAGGAAAACCATGATAGATACTCCAATTAAAATGTTACTGTCAATGTAAATGATGGTAAAACAAAAACACCAACCAAAGAAAAAAATACTTTCACTCTGAGAGCAGCAGGTGATGGAACCCAGGAAGGACTATACTTTAGTACAAAGAAAATACAAAAGCTCCCCATGTTCCATTTCTCGTTTGGATCATTTTACATCCTTCTGGGGCCTTAAGCCAGTGGTTATGGCTTCCATGTGTCCTCAAAGGTTTCCAAGTAAAGAAACTTTCCCATTTCAAACATTAAGAAAAACACAAGATGGATTTCAGGACACATAAAATTGGGACAAGATTTGATCTGGCTCTGAGCACCTGCGTGTGGGGATAGACCAGGGGAAGACAGTCACTGCGAATTCACAGCCACGTCATTAGAGGAAGGGGGAAGAACAAAGGACAAAAGATTTTCCATCAACCACCCATCCGTCCATCCCACCTGTATAAAACTCCCATTCCTCCCTACTTTTAATTCCTCCATCTGTTTTTCTCTCTTTCCTTTCTGCCTCCTTTTTCTTCTCAGCCATAACTTGTTTTGGCTCACTGTCACTTTTATTCTCCACTGTATAACTT